TGGCTTTTTTTACAGCTTACACAATACATTCCTGGAATCATTTGCTTCAGGATGAGAACAGAAATCGTGCACCGGCGGTGCGGCAGCAGCAGCAGGAGGAGGCCCCATTAGCTAAAGTGGTGCTTCAGGTTAAGAACAGTTTCAGGTTAAGAACAGACCTACGGAATGAATTAAGTACTTAACCCGAGGTACCACTGTATATAAAATATTACTAGCAGTAGTAGTTGTTCTGGCCCAACTGCAATGTCTATTGACCTTTCTCGAATGGTGCATAGATACCTTGTATGTGATGATCGACTTGGCAGGTCAAAAGCCACTTCCCAGCATTCTCTGCCATCATTTCTGCCGTCACAAAAGTGGCCGGAAAGAGGCTGATGACATCCATCCTGTGGCCTCTGCTAAGCAAAGTATGGCCGAAGAACTGTGCAGAGTGAACGTCGATCTCGGTCCCCATCCCAAACAAATGCCAGGACACCAATTCACCAGCGCACATCTCCAGGCCAGGGAGGTTTCCAAAAACATACCCGTTAATTGCTGGAAACATATAACACAATATAAGAAAAGATAATCCATGAGTTACAGGGATATGAATGACAGGGACATTCATTTTAAAACAGCTAATGTGTGCCACATTTAAGATTTTCCTTTTGTTCTCTATTTCACTAACGTAATGGAAGCAAAATGGCTTCAAACAAAGTCATCATCACCCTTTTTCTCCTTTGTTTAAAGATAAAGAGTGTCTGGGGAAACCCAGCCAGATGGGCAGGGTATAAATAAATAAATTATTATTATTATTATTATTATTATTATTATTATTATTACAAGAAAGATATGAAATTTAAAGGTTAAAGGGACAGAAAAAGAGAATAAGAAAAAGAAAAAAAGAAAACCAAGGGGACGTGAGATAAAAGGAAGAAAAACAGAGAAGGGAAAAATTGGGCAGTTGGAAGAGATCCCCATGCTTCAAGATGGGGTTAGAGATGGATTCTGGGGTCTTAGACACTGACAGCTGTGGGCCAGGATTAGATGTCTGAGGTGAGCACAGAGTTATGAGTCCAGAAGTCAGCACCAAAGAGCAAGATTGCCTCAGAAGTGGTGGATTCTCCTTCATTAAAGGTTTTAAAAGCAGAAGCTGGATGGCCACTCTTGTGGGGTTGCTGTAGTAGTGACTTTCCTGCATTGCCAAGGGGTTGTACTAGAGGATCTTTGAGGTCCCTTCCAATTCTATGAATGGAATTCAACATCAGGTGGAGAAGGAGATCTGCTCATGCAACAAGACTTTCCCACCTTTTCTCCCTCTGCTGCACCTTTTCTTGTGCAGCAGAAAGTCCTCTTGTACAAGTGGACCACCTCATTCCATGCATTCAACAACTTAGTTGCATCCCACCCTACGATTCCAAAGACAGGACATGGTGAAAGGCAGGAGCAGCATTTAGGAACAAGCCAGCTGTCAGAACCCAAAAATTACAGGAAGACACCAGAGCTCAGGGACAACCTTGCTGCTTAAGCAAGGCGCAACTGGAACAGGAAGACCTTCAAACTCCATCCTGCCCAGGGGGATCCTATGGACAGCCTGCCTGAAGGGGTCAGTCCAGGGGCTGAGGATGCTAAAATGCTCAGATTGATATTGCAACTTGCAGTTCAGGGTTTCACCACAAGGAGAAGCTGCACACAAACCCAGAGGCCATCCATTCAAGTCCTAGGGACCTCATGGCAAAAGGCAGGGGTCAGCAAACTTTTTTCAGCAGGGGGCCCTGTCCACTGTCCCTCAGACCTTGTGGGGGGCCGGACTATATTTTGGAAGGGAAAAAAATGAACAAATTCCTATGCCCCACAAATAACCCAGATATGCATTTTAAATAAAAGCACACATTCTGCCCATGTAAAAACACCAGGCAGGCCCCACAAATAACCCAGAGATGCATTTTAAATAAAAGGACACATTCTACTCATGTAAAACACGCTGATTCCCGGACCGTCCTTGGGCAGGATTTAGAAGACGATTGGGCCAGATCCGGGCCCCGGGCCTTAGTTTGCCTACCCATGATGAAAGGCATTTCACAATGGGTTGCTTGCCTAACCTCTGCTTTTTCCCCGTAGGAGCTGCTGAGGTGACTCAAAGCTGGGGAACCTGCTTTAGGGTCGAACTGAAGGCACCTAGTCCGGCTTGGCCTGTGTTTCAAGCTGCGGGTAGTAGACGAAAGAGGCAGCATTAATTTCCTGGCACAACCCCAGACTATTTCCTCTCACCAGGAAAGGAAGAGGAGCCGCTGCAATTAGAAGTTGCAACCAAATCTGGCGGCAATTGTAAAACAAGCGTTGTTCTTCCTGTCCTGCAGCAACTGCTCACCGTGCATCTTATTGCTCAGTTGGAAATCTTCATCCTCTTTATCCACAGTGCTGGGTTCCAAGCAGAAGGTATTTATATTTTCATCCAGGTACCAGCTGAGATTTTCATCTACGATGCTGAACATCAGAGCGAAGCTCTTTGTGGCACTGGCCCGCTGGCGCTGAAGCATCATCTAATGTTCCTAAGAAAGCAAACATGTAAAAGTTTGTAAACCCTTTAAGTTAATTTATTTGGAGCCACTTCACATGTTCTAAAAATTATTGCCTTGAAATCAATCCCGAGTAGGGAATCAGTGTGCAGACTCAAGGCCTAGGTACATATTATGTACATGAATGATGAAGAAGAGTTTGGATTTGATATCCCGCTTTATCACTACCCTAAGGAGTCTCAAAGCAGCTAACATTCTCCTTTCCCCTTTCCCTTCCTCCCCCACAGCAAACACTCTGTGAGGTGAGTGGGGCTGAGAGACTTCAGAGAAGTGTGACTAGCCCAAGGTCACCCAGCAGCTGCATGTGGAGGAGCGGAGACGCGAACCAGGTTCACCAGATTACGAGTCTACTACTCTTAACCACTACACCACACTGGGCTCTCGTAATGATGTCGTTAGCAATTGCACAGGGGGATTCTTTAAAATTACAGACCAAGAACATGGGATAGGCCTTATTCATGAGAAGCACAACAGTACATGGGGAAGGGCCAGGGCTGGCCCATCCATGAAGTAAGGTGAGGTGATGCCTCAGGTAGCAGAATCTACAGGGGCACCAAACCCACCTCCAAGGAATGAATCACCTGCTGCTGTATTTATACTCCAGATTTCTTTTTGGGAAAGCTCTATACTGCTTTCAGCATTTATAGATTCATAGAATTGTACAGTTGGAAGGGATCCCGCAAAGGTCACCCAGTCATCCTGCAGTGCTGGCATCACAGCTAAAGAACTACAACTAATCCAGAATGCGGCAGCTAGACTGGTGACTGTGAGTGGCCACTGAGACCACATAACACTGGTCCTGAAAGACATACATTGGCTCCCAGTACATTTCCAAACACAATTCAAAGTGTTGGTGCTGACCTTTAAAGCCCTAAATGGCCTCAGCCAGTATACCTGAAGGAGCGTCTCCACCCCCATTGTTCAGCCCAGACACTGAGGTCCAGCACCGAGGGCCTTCTGGCGGTTCCCTCACTGTGAGAAGTGAGGTTACAGGAAACCAGGCAGAGGGCCTTTTCGGCAGTGGCGCCTGCCCTGTGGAACGCCCTTCCAGCAGATGTCAAGGAAATAAACAACTACCTGACTTTTAGAAGACACCTGAAGGCAGCCCGGCATCGGGAAATTTTTTAATGTCTAATGTTTTGCCATTTTTATGTGCTGTAAGCCACCCAGAGTGGCTAGGGAAACCCGGCAAGATGGGCAGGGTATAAATAATAAAATTGTTGTTGTTGTTGTTACTATTACAGAATCCCTGACAGGTGGTCATCCAAGCTCTGTTTAAAAGAGTCCACCATCTTTCGAAGCAGTCCATTCCCCTGTTGAACAGCTCTTACTGCCAGAAAGTTCTCCCTGATGTTTAGTCAGAATCTCCTTTTCTTGTAATTTGAATCCATTCTACCATATTTTTTGGCCTATAGGACACACTTTTTCCCCTCCAAAAATGAAGGGGAAATGTGTGTGCGTCCTATGGGGCGAATGCAGGCTTTCGCTGAAGCCTGGAGAGCGAGAGGGGTCGGTGCGCACTGACCCCTCTCGCTCTCCAGGCTTCAGGAAGCTATCCGCAAGCCGTGGGAGAGCTGTGCAAAGTCGCGCAGCTCTCCCAGCGCTTGCGGAGAGCTGCCTGTACCCAGAAGCCTGGGGCGCGCTGAGCTCAGCATGCCCCAGGCTTCGGGCTTCGCACGGCTCTCCGCAAGCCTCTCTCCTTTCCCTCACTCCCCAGCTATCAATGGGACTTGATGGGAGGAGATGGTTCTTTTAGGTATCTTGGCCCAAAATTGTTTAGGGCTTCAACGTAATAAGCAGCAGTGTGAATTGGACACCAGAAATGGGCTAGGCTACTCAGACATCATGCAAAGGTACAACTGCTGAATGTATCAGAATTTGTGGATCCAGACCTGAATTTTTTAGCCAAACCTTGCTACCACAGAGGCAGTTGGCATTATATGTTCCGCACCTTTCCGACAAACCACCAGCGGCCCAATTAACCCAGTGCTGATATCTTTTGGCGTGTCGATATGCGAATGGTAAATCCAAGTCAGGCACCGTGGATCTGCTGGTGTAGGTGAAAACTCATCTGTAACCAGCCATGTATATGTATAATTGGAACCAGGGAGAACAAAATCATCAGCCTTGCTTTTGCCACCTGTTCCATCTCGGTAGAGGGCTCCTGAGGTGGAACGGAAAAAAAAAGATTGAAGTTCTTTTTGTGCCCTTTTAGACATCTTACACATGAGCATTTTAGTTTGTTCTCTCTCTCTCTCTCTCTCTCTCTCTCTCTCTCTCAGTTAAAGTTGCTTTGATCACTTTTGCAAAAAGGGAAAAGATGGAAAAGCGGCTAATTAAATATAGGGCAGCACTCAAGTAGGTTTTATTCAGAATAAACCCATTGAAATTAATGAACGTGGCAGTGATGTGAGGTTAGGCGCCATTGCCCTGTCCCACCACCTGATACTAGTATAAAAATATTTGGCTTTTGCACATAGCTGTCAAGTGTCCCTTATTTGAAGGGACAGTCCCTTATTCCAGCGCCATGTCCCGCTGCTGTCCCTTATTGATGGATGTCCATTAAATGATGTCCCTTAAATTTCAAAGGAAGCAGCTCCTCTCCCTCCCTCCCTGCCAGGGAGGAGGGAGGCTCCAACTGTGTTGCTTGGCTGTGTTGCTCACCCAATAAGAAGTCTAAGATCGACTGGGGGAGTGGAGCTTGCATGCCTTGTGTGTGGCTAGTTAATGCAAGCTGAGGGTTTTTTTGAATGCTGGACACCATTTTGTTGCACGTGCTGCTGCAAACTTTGCAGTGCAAAGCCAGGCAGGGGAGCCATCTTAAGTTGAGGCTGCATAGGCCTTGTGGTGCATGTGATTCAGATTCTATTCAGTTGAACCTCTGGTTACAAAGTTGGTTGGACAGTGTTCTCGAAGCTACCAGCATGAGTTTGACCAGACTGAAGGACAGAAAGAATGGAGTGCCTGGAACAGGTGAGGCTGCAGGTCCCTTATTTTGGCTGCTGGTCCCTTATTTTCAAGGCTGCTGGTCCCTTATTTTCAAATCTGTAAGTTGACAGCTATGCTTTTGCATAGCCTACTGTATGAAGGCAAGAGTCACATTTATTACTCCGCCCACTTTTACTTCTGGCCCCGCCCACCACAGACATGTGACACCCCACCCTCTCGAAGATTCCCTGTGAGGGAATGTGGTCCTCAAGCTAATGAAGTTTCCACACTGCTGGAGTAAATGAACTCTTAGTCTGACCCAGCAGGCCTCTATTACATTCCTCTGCAGACAAATTGATGTGAGCCCAGATCTGAACTGAGGTCTCCTCTGTCAAATTTCCAACATGCTACCCGAACCACTATACTGGCTCCCAGGGGTAACAGAGGAAAGAGAGAGAATCTGAAACAGCAGAAGAGGAAAAGCAAATCTTTGTTTTACCTTCAGAATCTTTCTCGTAGAAGACTCCGTGTGGATGTACAGAATAAGGCCGGGAAGCAAAGTTCTTCAAATGAATAATAAAAGTATCTCTTTCTTCGGCTCTCAGAACTGGACCTAGAAAACCCAGCCAAGATGGTTTGGGGATCTCCTGGGAGTACGTGTCATCTGTGAATTGTTTGAAAATTGCTTTCTTGTAAACCCGACCTATCCTGTTGGGGCCTCTTCTCACATAGACAATTGCTTCTCTGCAGTAGAAAAGGGGGGGCGGTGAGTTTAAGTTAATTTTCAATCCATGAATCATATGGAACAGATGAGGACGATGAGATTTGAAACACCAACATAAGCACTCCATGTGCGGGAACCAATCAACTTATGTAGGGGACAGGTAAACACTGAATGTCATCATGTTTCAGGCTGGTTGCCCAGGAACGTACAGTGGTACCTCTGGATGCGAACGGGATCCGTTCCAGAGCCCCGTTCACATCCTGAAGTGAACGCAACCCGCGTCTGTTCGTCTGCGTGGGTCACGATTCGCCGCTTCTGCACATGCGTGTGACGTTATTTTGAGTGTCTGTGCATGTACGAGCGGCGAAACCCAGAAGTAACGTGCTCTGTTACTTCCAGGTCACCGCGGAGCGCAACCTGAAAATATTCATCCTGAAGCTACTTCAGCCCGAGGTACAACTGTACAAAGACAAGGGAATGTTTCTTATTGTCTGCTTTTTATTCAGTATTTACAGAGAGGCTATATCTCTTGGATAATGGTGTTGTCCCGAGTGACTCTCCACCCCTCGTCTCTCCCACTTCCTCATTCGTCAACCTCGTTGTCTCTCCTATGGGTGCTGCTATGTGCCCTCTGTCTTTGAGCTCTTTGCTCTCCTACTTTCAAGGCTCACCAGGTTCTGGGAGAGGGTGTGTGTGTGTCTGGAATGCTTCCTAAAGACACTGTGTCCGTCAACTGTCATCCCCCTGGTGCTTCCTCCTCCTCCCCTCCCATTATTTCCCAACTTTCCCCTTCATCTGCCTCTGAGCTGTGACCTCCCTGTTGTAAATCTAAACTGTCTTCTTCTTCCTCCTCCCTGGAAGAGTCAAGCTGGGGAAGCAGTCTCCACCATTCCTCCTCTGCCCAGTTCCTGACATCATGATACCATTTCACTAATAATAATACAGTCATACCTCATGATACGTCCGCTTCATGTTACGTTCTTTCATGTTACGTCCCGCAGTGACCCGGAAGTCCTGGAAAGGGCTACTTCCGGGTTTCGCTGCTCGCACATGCGCAGATGCGCAAAATGATGTCACGTGCATGCGCAGAAGCGGCAAATCACAACCCGCGTGTGTGCAGACGCATCGCTGCGGGTTGCGTTCTTTTCATGTTGCGAGCAGGCCTCCGGAACGGATCCCGTTCACAACCAGAGGTAAAGGTAAAGGGATCCCTGACCATTAGGTCCAGTCGTGACCGACTCTGGGGTTGCGGTTCTCATCTCGCTTTACTGGCCGAGGGAGCCGGCGTACAGCTTCCAGGTCATGTGGCCAGCATGACTAAGCCACTTCTGGCGAACCAGAGCAGCGCACGGAAACGCCGGTTACCTTCCCCCTGACGTGCTTTTGAACTGCTAGGTTGACAGGAGCAGGGACCGAGCAACGGGAGCTCACCCCATCGCAGGGATTCGAACCGCCGACCTTCTGATCAGCAAGTCCTAGGCTCTGTGGTTTAACCCACAGCGCCACCCGCGTCCCAACCAGAGGTACCACTGTAACAATGAAATTAATACAATTTTACACATCTACTTTAACTAAACATTAATAAGCAGCACAGAGAAGAGATGTGAAATGCTGGCAACATTGAGTTAGGTCTTGAGAGCGAATATTCGGAGCCGTTTCCCCCATTTCGTGATGACTTTTCCTTCATTGTCCCATAATGTAAACTAGATCTTGGGAAGCAGCAGCCATCTCTTGTTTGTCTTCTCAGCCCCCACACACCTGGCAAGCATCAATATGTACCTTGCCCTTTGCATGGCACATGCCTTTCTTTTGCAACTCCCGGCCCTACAGGGCTGTAACCATACATAGGGTGTAGGAAACAAACACTGGCTAATGGAGCGGAAAAAGAGGCCATTATGAATTAGTTCACAATTCAATTGCAGAGGCGACTTTGCTGGGAATTTTGACTTCAGTAGCTTAGCTTGCTTAATTAAGGGCCCTTTGATACATCCTTTTTATTGCACATTCACAATGATTTGTGCTCAGGATTCAGCCAAGACACAATCCGACTTTCAACACTGTGCCTGAAAAGGTTTCGGGGCAGCCATACTGCATCATTTCCTTTAACGTCCTGCTGTAATCTTGTAACTTTTCATTCCGCAAATTGCCCTCTGGACAGCAATTATGTTGTAGAATGGGGGAAGCGTCATACAACAGCTAATAAAGTAGAAAACCCCCCACCTCTAATAAACTGTCTTTGTGCAACAATTAGGGTAGCCATACAGTGGTGTTAAGTTGTGGGTGAAGATATCAGAAGACACAGCGATTCTTCAAACAGCTCTTGTTTATTCACAGGCCAGAACAGAACAGAACTGAAGGGTTCAGCCAGCCTGCTTATATAGAGCTCCACTACAACGCAACTGTAACAACTTTCTGTAACTATCCAATCACTGAACGTCACTTTCAATTCCTTGTTTGCATATGTGGACCTGAGTGAAAACTATCTACAGTATCCCCCTGCTGGCCCAGGGGTGAGAACTTCAGCACATAACAAGTGGTACCTTGGGTTAAGTACTTAATTCATTCTGAGGTCCGTTCTTAACCTGAAACTGTTCTTAACCTGAGGTACCACTTAGCTAATGGGGTCTCCTGCTGCCGCCGCACCACTAGAGCATAATTTCTGTTCTCATCCTGAAGCAAAGTTCTTAACCTGAGGTACTATTTCTGGATTAGCGGAGTCTGTAACCTGAAGCATATGTAACCTGAAGCATATGTAACCCGAGGTACCACTGTACATAGGCGGCCCGACTCCATGGGGCTTGAGGGGGCTCGAGCCCCCTCAAAAAATTTTTTGGGGGGGCTCAGCCCCCCCAATAATCCTCGGGCGCCGGGGGGCGGGGGCTCCTGCCTCGCTGCTTCGCAGCACCACCGCCACTGGCCAAGGCACTGCCGGGGCGGAATTTCCTTCCTCCTGGCGGTTTCAGCCCCCGCGAGAACAGGGGAATCCCGACTGGCCACACCTCCCAGCCAGCCAATCGGCTGGCTGGGGGGGCGTGGCTTGCCCTATTTAGGGCCGGAGCCACTTTATTTGCATATTCATGAGCTTATTTATTATTCATGAGCTTTCCCGGCGCCCCCCAATATTTTTTATAAGTCCGCGTCCCTGCCACTGTATTTCAAAAAGTGAAAATCTGGACACAAAAGTTGTTCAGCTTTTTTGGGGGGGGCAAAGTTGTTTAGGCTATTTTTGCAACACATTAAGTTTCTGAGCTATTTTAAAGGAAAATTCGCCAAAATCTACACTTCCAACATGGGCAGCCATACGTGTGGATTTCATGCACATTCCAGTGATTTCTGCCCGGACACTGTTTCCGACGGCCGAATCCTGGCTATGTCCGGGAAATTCCGGATGTATGGCAACCCTAAACATGTTGCAGAATCCACCCACAATAAAACACTAATCTGGAAGGGACCGCGAGTGGACTTGTCAGGTCTACATTTGATCTGGGGAATGTCTGCAAAGGACTGGTCAGTGCTTTGGAATTCTAAGAATTTGCTACATCCAGCACTGCAAACCCTATTGATCATGAAAAACCAGAAGCAAACACTATGCAACAACATTTTAACATGCAACAAAGAGTTAAAATAAACTTATAAATTCAACTTTTGAAGCCTTTTGAAGGAAAAAAAAAGCACGGAAAACTTAGTGCAGATCCATATATTATTATTGCAGAAAAGCTTCTACCATCACGTATACAAATGGTTGTGTTTATCCATCTCAAACCACTCAGATGAAGCCACATTTCATCAGTGTTATAAAACCTGCGCCTTCCAATGCTTTTGTCTAAAGGTTACTTGCAAACACGCAAGCCTATGTAGAAGTCATTATTTCTCCACGAAGTCTGAAGGCCACAGCAGGCTCTGAAAACATCAAAAACATCAGATGCTTGGCCATCAATAAACGTTTCATAAAGCGTCCATCTCCTTTATGCATTGATAATAGGAGCTTTTCTTTTTTTCCTGTGCAAGCATATACACGCTTACTGACTCACAAACAAGTCCCATTTACTTTAATGTAGCAAACCAGAAGAGCGTCTGTAGAATGCCAGCATTGGGTGCTTCTAGACTTTAATTCACGTTGCACAACTAAAGTTGACTTGGTGCTCTTGCACAACAACCGCCCCCAAGCCCAAACCTGACTTTCTGTGATAAGGAAAGTGATGGCGGAAAGGCACTGGGGAGAGTGGGTTGATGCTTGCTTGTCAAAAATAAATGCTTTAAAAGCTCGTATCATCTAAGCTCCCTAACATTCTGGCAAACAGATTAGGATAAATGATCGATACATAGGTTGTCTGGTAGTGACCTTAATCTCTCAAAAATGGTTCTCTTTCTGCCCCAGAGATTTATGCCTGCATTCCGAAGAATTCCGAAGAATTGTCACATTGTGAGTCGCCATGCAAGTGCCCCCTTCTCTCTGCTTACACCAGTGGTGTCCAAACTTTTTTCAAAGAGGGCCAGATTTGATGAAGTGAAGGGCTGTGAGGGCCGACCAAAGCCGCTGACCAAAGTTTTTTTAAGGATTGAAGTTGTTGGGGTTTTTTTAGGATTGAAGTGTTGAGGTTTTTTTAGGAATTTACCCCAGGAAATAAACTAATAAACTGCCACACGGGCCGGATTAAAACCTGCCGGATTAGGCCCCCGAACGGACTTTGGACATGCCTGGCTTACACCAAAGACCCTTCTCAGAAATCTATATTTGGGGTGTGAATGTGTGTGGGGATCAAGCAGGGCCACAGTTCAAGGCCCACTTCAACGCAGCAAAGTCAACCCCCACTTCCACTATGTTTCAAGTCAGACCAGAGAGGGGGAGAGATGTCTTCACATTACCTGATTTCTTTCCCCACGTCAAACTCCAACTCACTGATGTTGTCTGCGCATGTGCTATCATGTGCACCATGCGCAGCCACTGCCTAAAATTTCCACGCCATATTTTGATTTTGGCTTCTGTCTTCAAATCAAATGGAAGCTGGTTTTGAAGAAAAGCGCAGCCGTTGTAAAGGACCGAAGCTCCCGCCCGAAAATAGTCTGAAAAACACCACCCTGAGTTCATTGGGACTTACTTCTTTAGTAAGCGTGTTTAGATTGCAATCTTTTACTCCTCCCGATACAAGTACGATAGCTCAACCATAAATGCATAATCATCTAGGGGCGTTTAATTCAAATGCAGTTCAATGGCAGTTGCACTGTGGTACTGAAGCTTAGGAAATTTTGTGTTAATACAAAAGGACCGCAGCACAGGTCTTGACTCCCCTCCAAATCCCTTGGAATTTAATTTAATTTAATTGCTAAGTGTGCAGACCTGTAGCAGTGCGCCTTAAATGCACATTGCAAATGTGAAACGAGAGGCAGCCTAAAAAAAACTCCTCGCATTGCCGTTTTAACCAGCCTATGCTGCTTTCCGATGCATTTTAAGGTCGCTTCAAAAACTTGTTTCATTGCCCCAATATGCTTCTTTGGAGGAAACAAACAACTTGGAAAGCACTGAGCCCAATATGCATCATGTGGGCAAGTGTGAATTAACTACTTTAAAAGCGACAGTAGAAACTCAGAAGACCCTACAGGGACTCCTGCTTTGACTTACTCATCCTCTGTCAGATTTTGTCCTGTGATCAGATTCTCGCCGCTCGGTGCATAGTCCCAGTTCTCCTCCACAATTCCAAGATAGTACGTCCTGGTAGCCGCTTCTGCTAAAACAAATGCCAGAAGATTAGGCTGGTTAGAATGCAGGCAGCTCGCTTCACGAAAGACATTTGCGTGTTTGTGTGTGTGTGTGTGCAACTCAAGCGAGAGGCAGCCAAAGTGCGCTCACCTCAGCCCTGCCCACTCACATTCCAACTAGTCAGACAGGAGGCAATGGACAAAGCCCTGCCCCTCCCAGGCAGCAATTTGGGGCTGATGAGGGCACAGGCCAGAAAACCTGAGCCAGCTGGCCCGAAAAAAGGGCCTGTGGTGTGGGGTTGCCATGGCGACGAGCCTCTTGCCAGGCTTTGAAGGGCCCGCGTGTGTGAAACTGTGACTTAGTGTTGTTTGTCCCTCGAGCTAAATGAAGAGAGCGCTTTATTTGTAAATTTGGGCGATTTCCCCCCCTCCCTCCAGGCGTTCGTACTGTGTGAAAAGGACGGTGCAAAAGTGTTATAATGGGGACTTTTGTCTTCTTCGACTCCTATGTCTGTCTGCAGGATGGTACACTGACATGCTCTGACAAGCCTCTCCTTGCTCTGTTTTCCACTAAGCTGTGATCCTAAACTGAACACAACAGTGCTTGGCTTAGTGTTAATTGGCGAAACTTAGCTTATTTTGCGAGTTTATGGCAAATCTTCCCCTCTCCCAAACTCATAGCAATATTGTGCTGTGACAGACTGCATATAAATTGACATCCTCGATGGGCCGTTGGCCTGATCCCGCAGGCTCATATTACGTCCTTATGTTCTTAACGTGATTTCATACATGGAAGCAAACATGGAAGTTCATTCACACATAACTGCTCCTCGATGCACGCATCAGTATATCTTCCAGAGGAGTACCAATGCAAATCTCTTGCAGCAAAAGCAGCAAATAATATCACGGCACTTTATAAAGACGAACAGGTTTATTGTGACGTAAGCCATGGGTAACCAGTCATGTGATTTCCAGGCATTGTGGGACTCTGCTTCCTATCAGCCCTAGCCAGCATGGCCAATGGTTGGGGTTGATGGGAGTTGTAGTCAACAGAATCAGTTGGCTACTCCTGAACTAGGCAGTCTGACCCAGTTGTAGTAAGCCAGACTTCATGGACCATGCGTCTTCCAGAGGTTGTTGGACAACATGCGCTGCCTGGGGCTGATGGGAGTTGTAGTCTAGCAACATCTGCCAGAACATAGTCATTGCGACTGTTGTTGTTGTTGTTTAGTCGTTTAGTCATGTCCGACTCTTCGTGACCCCATGGACCAGAGCACGCCAGGCACTCCTGTCTTCCACTGCCTCCCGCAGTTTGGTCAGACTCATGTTTGTAGCTTGAGAACATTGTCCAACCATTCGTCCTCTTGTCGTCCCCTTCTTCTTGTGCTGTTAATCATCGGTTGGATAGCTTGGTTTGGTTAGAGCGTGGTGCTGATAACACCAAAGGTTGCAGCTTCAGCTAGCTGCATATTCCTGCATTGCAGAGGGTTGGACTAGTCAGGCATGTCCAACTCCCAAGAGACTGTTGATCTACTCCCCTATAAAAAAAAAAAAAAAAAACTGGCAGTGATCTGCCATTGGATTGACCAAAGTTATTAACAACAACAACCCAGGGTTTCCCACCTAAATTAACTTCCTTGGAACCTGAGTGAAAACTATATACAGTGTACCTCGGGTTACAGACGCTTCAGGTTACAGACTCCACTAACCCAGAAAGGGTTAAGAACTTTGCTTCAGGATAAGAACAGAAATTGCATGGCAGCGGGAGGCCCCATTAGCTAAAGTGGTACCTCAGGTTAAGAACAGTTTCAGGTTAAGACGGACCTGCAGAACGAATTAAGTTCTTAACCTGAAGTACCACTGTACACAATACCCCTGGTGGCCAGGGGTGAGAACTTCAGTACATAACAAAAGTTGTTCAGCTTTTTGGGGGGGGGCGATCAATCAGGAACACACAATCAACCAGGATCAACCAGGGTTGCCCCACGATCGACTGGTAGATTGCGATCAACCTGTTGGACATGCTTGGACTAGATGATCTTCAGTGTCCCTTCCAACTCTAGGATTCTATGATAGCCTTCATACATGAGTCTGTATGTACATTTCAAGTCATTTTACTTATTCATTCCATTTTTATCCCACCCTTCAAAAAAGAACCTCAAGGCAGCATGCATTACTAGAGGGGTGTGTGGGCTTGTATGCAACAATCTAGTAAAGGTAAAGGAACCCCTGACCGTTAGGTCCAGTCACGGACGACTCTGGGGTTGCGGCGCTCATCTCGCTCTACAGGCCGAGGAGCCGGCGTTTGTCCGCAGACAGCTTTTCCGGGTCATATGGCCAGCATGACAAAACCGTTTCTGGTGAACCAGAGCAGTGCACGGAAACGCCGTTTACCTTCCCGCCAGAGCGCTACCTATTTATCTACTTGCACTTTGACGTGCTTTTGAACTGCTAGGTTGGCAGGAGCAGGGACCGAGCAACCGGAGCTCACCCCGCCGCAGGGATTCGAACCGCTGACCTTTCGATCGGCAAGCCCAAGCGGCACAGTGGTTTAACCCACAGCACCACCTGCGTCCCATATGCAACAATCTACTCTAATATAAATTATACACATGATGTATGTATAATAATTTCAACTGACTCCAGCGAAGGTCCCCTATCAAATAATTTGCTGGTGGTGAAAATGAATGCTAATACGATCTCCTACCTCACACTATACTCTTCGTGAGTGGCATCAGTGCTACTCTAGCAAAAAACCTCCAGCTAATTCAGCCCATTTCCCCAGTCTTATATTTTCTTTTCCCCTTACTTAACCTAAATTGGTACTTGTTGTCTCACAGCCTTTGCATATATTCATTAACGTCAATTATCCAGAGGCAAAACTCAAATAATGCTTATTGCAGCACTCCAGGCAGGTATCAGCACATTTGGGGGAACTCCAAATATGTTGCCGAGGGAGCTGTATGCCGGCTCCCTCGGGCCGATAAAGCGAGATGAGCACCGCAACCCCAGAGTCGGTCACGACTGGACCTAAATGGTCAGGGGTCCCTTTACCTTACCTTTACAGCTCAGTACAGCCTACTCTGATCGGCAACAACTCTCCAGGGTTCCAGATGCAGACCATTCCCAATCCTACCTGTGCACGCTGAGGATTGAACCCGCAACCTTCTGCATATCTACGACTACTCCCGTTCGTTAAGCCTTTGACTTCATCCCTCAGGCCTCCTCTCGTAACTGAAATAAATATGTGACAGCATTTGCTGATATTCAAATGTTGCTGTCTCCTCCTCCCCCCCCCTTTTATTGACTCTATTATTGTGAAGATGAACCTTATAAGCAGCTTGCAGGCAGAGACGCGCTTAGCTTGGAGTCATTTTGTTTCTCTTGCTTGTGGTTTCTGTTTTGTTTTGTTTTGCTTGCTGCTTACATGAGTGCCGGCTCACTAGGGCCCTGGGTGCTCAAGCACCAACAAAATTCCCCATGAAGGGGCCAGGCACCCACAAATTTCAGCGCCAGGGCCATGCACAAGGCATGGCAACCACGCTCTGGACGCCCCTGGTGGTGCAGTGACAATAATTAACAATTAGTAATTGTAATTTCTGGTAAGGTTTTTATTAAAGTTTTTTCATAATACCATAAGATATAGAAAACAAATGTAAATAAAAAACAAAAAATACAAATAGAGTAAGTAGAATAGTAACCATAACTGTAAATAAGATCTTCAAATTAAATGAATTCCAGTTGTCAAATAGCGACACCAATTCCTTTAGCCATGTTTATTTATAGGCAAATGCCAGACTAAGTAATTTTCCACCAAGGGGAGAAAAAACACCACACAAGTTTGACTTCCTGAAAGTCATCTTCATAAGTTCCAGTGTTTTGACTTACCTTGTTCCACTGAATGACTACAACTTTTTCCCACTCGTAGCTTGTTCAGTCAGGGCTAAACAAATGACTCTGAAGTCACAATGTACACTGTCTGGAGCAGCAGTGTGAAGTGGAAGAACTGGGGATGCTAAATTCTAGGCTCTGCAGAGCTACCATCCTGTGGAAGTTTGGAGTGAGAAAACAGGAGCAATTCTCTCATTAAAAACGAACACATCGTGGTTTTTTGTTTATTTCATTTGTGAGTCCCTTGACTCCAAAATGGTCTCCAAGTGACGTATCTGATCAAAAGGCATACAAATGAAAACGAACATCAAAAAATAAAATGAAATCAGGCTTCTTAGGCTGAGCGGATGCAAGTCAGCCTTTCACCGCCTAACACATCGAGCCAGCAGATGACCCGGTCATTGAGCATTCGTCCTGATTTGGGCTTTGTGGTGGTTAGATTATATCCCGTCTTTATTGAAATCATAGAACCACAGATTTTGTTATATATATTGATGCCGGATAGCATGAGGGAGCAGGCTTCCACAGGGGTAAAGATAAAAGTAAAGGACTCCTGGACGGTTATGTCCAGTCAAAGGCGACTATGGGGTTGTGGTGCTCATCTCACTTTCAGGCCAAGGGAGCCGGTGTTTGTCCACAGACAGCTTTCTGGGTCATGTGGCCAGCATGACTAAACAGCTTCTGGAACAACGGAACACCGTGACAGAAACAAGAGTGCATGGAAATGTCGTTTACCTTCAAGCCGCAGCAGTATCTACTTGCACTGACGTGCTTTCGAACTGCTAGGTTGGAGGGAGCTGGGACAGAGTAATGGGAGCTCACCCCGTCACAGAGATTCGAACCGCCGACCTTCTGATCGGCAAACACAAGAGGCTCAGTGGTTTAGACCGCAACGCCATGTGTGTATCCCTAGCTGGTCATGAAATCACATTAAAAAATAAAGTGTGTGATTCCTTGGCTGGTGGGACTACAATGTATACAGCTGCCGCTGCGCCGCCGGACCACGATTTCTGTTCTCATCCTGAAGCAAAGTTCTTGAGGTACTGAGGTACTATTTCTGGGTTAGCGGAGTCTGTAACCTGAAGCATAATGTAACCTGAAGCGTCTGTAACCCGAGGTGCCACTGTAGCTTGTTTAG